TTGTAACCAGCTGATATACTTTTTACAATATATGCTTGTTTTGAAAATAAATAAATATATAAAAAAATTATTTAAAAAAAAACACCTTTAATGGCACAGGACCCTGATGCTCATATTTAACATTTTCCTTTCTTGAATTGAAATTGTCTGAATATAACCAGAGTGTCAGAAACACTAGTAAGAGAAACAGACTGAAGCTGATATAAGTTCTGGCAATACAAAAAAGAGCTTTTCTCACAAAGTAGGCACAGATATCAAACTTCTACCCTTTCCTTGGGAAATCAAATGATTTTTTTTCTGCCCAGCAATGTTGTGCTTTTGCCCACTAACTTCAGAGGGAATGCAACAACCCTGATATATGATCTACCTGAAATTCTGATCTTCTAAGAATGAATATCCTGCCTTTAGAAAACAAATGATGGGCATAAAGATCCAATATAATTTGTATATTCTGTTAGACATAATTCCTTTTCTATAACAGTGTTAGAAACTTAGATTAGGATGTTGTAGGTTATTGTCCTGAGCAATAAATCTGTTATTAGCTACTTTATTATCCTAGTAGCAGGAGCCGTGGTGGTGCTGTGGTTGGAAAGCAGTATTACAGACTGATTCTGCCCACTGCCAGGAGTTCAGTCCTAATAGGCTCAAAGTTGACTCAGCCTTCCATGCTTCCATGGTAAAATGAGGAGATAAAATTGTTAGGGGTAATATGCTGACTCTCTAAACAGCTTTGAGAGGGCTGTAAAGCACTATGAAGTGGTGTATAAGTCTAAGGGCTACTGCTATGTACCACTTATCTTGGCTCCAAATCTCACTGATTCTTGGTAAGTTATTGCTTTCTTATGGCCTCAGGTTTTCAATAGGAACAGAATCCTTACCACTACCATCACCACCAGTAACCAATTCATGCTTGTAAACATTGAATTAAAAACATTAACTTTGGGGGGGAGGGATACCATGATTTTTAAAAAATGCATCAAGCAAATAATCGTTAGAAACATTCGAAATGTTGATACCTGCTATTGTCTGTGCCACCGGTTCAGTGACTGCGCTGGGAGCAGTGCTCGGCTGCTGCTGGCTAGAACTAACCTCTGGCTCCGTGCTAACAGAAGGAGACAATGCTACATCGTTGGAAGCTTGATTTGGGCCAGGCTGGAGGAGATCTTCTGAGGCCGACAGCTCTTCTTGCCCAGGAAACTGCAAGGCTGATAAAGGAATGCTGATAGGTTTGCCAGAATTAGAAGTGCTGGCAGGCACCTGGAGGGCCACCTGAGGATTTACAGTCGGGATGTTACCAGGCCTTCTGCTTGAGGAAGGCAGATTGAGTTTGGGAGGTTTCTGGGTCACTGGCCTCGATGTAACATGTGAAGAGGCTGAAACATTCTGTAAATCCAAGTCAGCACTGAGGGAAGGAGATGAGTGAGAACTTAGCTTAGATGCCACAGGATAGGAGGTTCCACCTTTAGGTTTTGACATGTGTGTCAAGGACAATGCAGGGCCATCAATGCCACCAGTGATTTCGGCATTCGCCACGATATAATAATCCTCGGGGAGTTCTTGCTTTATTTTTTTGGCTAAAACATCACTGCTGCTTCCATCAATGACCTCAGACTGAGAGTCCAAATGTAGCGAAGAAGATGGGCCAGATCTTTTAAGGGAATTTATCTGAGATCTTTGATGATGAGGTTCAAAATCGCTATCTTCATCGGTCACCGAAGACTCACAGACCATGTCAAAAAGATTAGATTCATCTTCGTATTCCTCCACTGTTTCATCCAATTCGGAAGGCTCACTGCAGTAGGAGAAATCGCAGGAATCTCTGGTTCTGTTACAGTCCAACTTTGCTTTTCCTGACCTCCCTGGATAGCGTTCCACCGGGCTGACTTGGGGGTCTGAAGGCATGCCGATTATGCTGGGGCTATCCGAGTTGAAACTTCTGTTATCCTGGAAACAAACTCTTTCCTGTGAGCCAGCCCTACAAGTAGCTGTCAGTGGCCAGTGATAGGCATGGCCTGCACTACAGCCCCACATAGCTGTCAGGTTGCCATGGGAACCCTCTGAAAGGAGGTGTTTTAAATTTGGAATGAGGCTGCAAATGGTACCATGACTGTGGGCCCAACTGACCAGCTTGGAAAGGTTTTCGGAAGATGTATGGAGGCAGTCTTCCATGGTGCATCACTTAATAACTTTGTTCCTTGAAAAGGGAAAAAAAGTGCATTAGAACCAAAGTCTGTACTTGAACTAGAATATATATTCCACAAAATACGGTAGTCCTTGACTTACAACAGTTAATTTAGTGACTGTTCAAAGTTACAAAGGAGCTGAAAAAGGTACTTATGACCATTTGTCACACTTACGATCATTGCAATCTCCCCATGATCAAAATTCAGGCACTTGGCAACTGACTCATTTTTCTGACGGCTGCTGTATCCCGGGGTCATGCGACCACTTTCGTCAACTTCTGAAAAATAAACTCAATAGGGGAGCCAGATTCACTTAACAACTGTGTTACTACCTTAACAACTGTAGTGATTCAGTTAACAAATGTGGCAAGAAAGGTTGTAAAATGGGGCAAAACTCACTTAACAAATGTTTCACTTAGCAAAAGAAATTTTGGGCTCAATTGTGGTCGTAAGGACTACCTATATGAATAATTTCATCAATGGAAGATATTTCCCTACTGATTGTGAGGTGAGAGATCCACCTCTAGGCCACTGCACCACTCCAATGATAGCATTCTTATGTGACATATATACATATACATATATACATGCACATACATATACATATACATACACATACACACACACACACATATGTAACATAAGATTGCTATCATTGGAGTGGTGCAGTGGCCTAGAGGTGGATTTCTCACCTCACAATAGCAGTAGACTTATATACCGCTTCATAGGCCTTTCAGGCCTCTCTAAGCGGTTTACAGAGAGTCAGCATATTGCCCCCAACAATCTGGGTCCTCATTTTACCCACCTCGGAAGGATGGAAGGCTGAGTCAACCCTGAGCCGGTGAGATTTGAACCGCTGACCTGCTGATCTAGCAGTAGCCTGCAGTGCTGCATTTAACCACTGCGCCACCTTGGCTCTTAGAAGGTTGTGGGTCAGAAGGCTGTGGGTCAGAAGGTTGTGGGTCAGAAGGCTGTGGGTTCAATCGTAGTAGCAGCAGATATTTCTCTCTGGGAACAATGGGAAAATATCTACAGCGAACTCCGCATTGGCGACAGGAAAGGCATCTGGCCAGTAAACACTCAGCTCCATTCAGTTGCCCCAACTTCACCCTGATGCAAGGGATTACAGGGTCATTAAATGTCCCTCCAAAAATGCTACCATTAGTTCTTTTGAAGGGGGAAGAACTATTGTATGTCTAGGAACTTAGCTTTTTTATGTCTGAAAAAAACAAAATGAATGAATAATCAAAATAATAATCACCTATATGGAGGGATAATGTAGAAAAGTCACCCTAATAATAATCACATATATGGAGGGATAATGTAGAAAAAATACCCTAATAATAATCATATACAGTATATGGAGAGAAAGTGTGTAGAAAAAGCACCCTAATATCTGCCAGACTAGTCTTTTCCATGCCATAACTGAGATGGATATCTAATTAGTGGAGACAAGTTATTCTTTATAGCGGCACCTCAATTGTTGGGCATTCTGCCTTAGGACAGTAAGCCAGAGCTTTCTTTAATAGTTTTAAGAATTTCTGAGGGCTTAACTGTACTATAACTGACTAGCAACTGTTTTTGGAGGAAGAAATGAACTTCAAATGAAGTCACATTCTCAGTGACTTCAGGAAATGTTTTTCTGCTCCACGTCCATGTTTCTATTTCATGTCTCCTTAAGCATTCCTATCTATTTCACATAGCCTGTTTTACTATCTTGAAAGCTAAGCCCAGCATATCATTGGAAGTTTTAAAGAAATAGAAATGCCCTTTCAACTGAGTCAATGTTTACTATTTCAGAGCTATTCTCATCCCAGATGTTGTAACAGCAAAAAGGTTATATTCTCTTCCCTTAAAAATCAAAAGGTTACTAGTTCAAAATCTAGCAGAATTTTTTTTTATGATTCTGGTTATTATTTTTCTTTCTAGAGTTTCAAATGTTCTCTGGCCTTTAAAAAAATAAGTCCAGTAGTGCAATATTAAATCTTTTCCCAGTCAGGTACCAAATAAACCCAGTAACATATGGGCTATTTGTTTGCTAGGAATGAATTCCTATCGTGTCAGATGACCAGAAAAATATCATCATCATCATCATCATCATCATCATCATCATCTTCTTCTTCTTCTTCTTCTTCTTCTTCTTCTTCTTCTTCTTCTTCTTCTTCTTCTTC